TATATATAAATACAGATCTGTAGATAATTCTAAAGAAAGTATTTCAGTTTTGCAATTTTTAAGATTAGTTTTAGTTTCAATAGAAATGAAAAATTAGAAAAGAGAAAAAATAAAAATACTTCTGGAACATAGAATCATAGAATAATTTGGGCTAGAAGGGACCTTTAAAGGTCATGCAATAGGAATTAAGTTGTGGATCTAGGAATTAATCTGATGTCGCTAATACTGTCTCGGAGTTATGGTTTGGTGTGTGAAAGTGTTTAAACGCCTTTCTGAGGTAATGGTTATGGAATTGCTGGCTTAAATGAAACCAAAGCTCTGTGGTGCATCACTTTATTATGAAATTAAGTTTGAAATCTGTTGCTCCCCGCTGTGCCCATTGACTCTGTATCTGGGGTGACTTCAGGTAAAATTATTTATAAAATTGTTCTGGGTGCCAGGACAGGTTTCTTTACCATAACCATGTGTAGTTACAGCAGGATCCTCCCTGTCTTCTGATTGTTTTTTCTGCCTGTGGGAGTGGGAGCCTTGACTACAAGGACAGGACCGTGTGGACTCTCCTGCAGTAACTTTTAGTTGAGTGTATTAGACTCCCAGACCTACCTAAGGCAAGAGGAATGGGAAGCATCAACAGTGGCTTAGATGCAAAAAGATGGAAGGCCAAGGGTAACAAAATTAAGGGCAGAGAGATCGAGGAAAGAGTCATGTCCCGTCTCTTATTGTTGTTGTTTGTTGTTGTTTTACAGTCATTTTAGTGGAATTAATAAAAGTTTACTGCCCTGTTTCACCCTTTTTTTTTTTTTTTTTTTCTTTCTGGTGTTTTCAGGACAAACTTGTCTTTTTTAAGTATGTGCTTTTCATCATAAAGGGATCTCTTATACACTGTGTTGGTTCTTGCAATAAGTATTGACTCTGTCTTTATTTCTCACTGTGCAAAGATAAAGGTTATCCTGGGAATACCGAAACTCCAGTAGACATGTAACTGACATAGCTTTGGGGTTTGGTTTTTTTCCAGCTATCTCAAGATGGTTGCGTGTCGGTTGCTGCGGGAGAGAGAGAGGGAGAGTGCTTCTGAGAGGAGCATCGGTCTGGATTTCTTCTATCCTATTCTGTGTCTCATGTCTCTTCTAACCATACTTCTGTCTTATTCTATGTCTCATGTCTATTCTATTTCATTTTTGTCAAAAGGCAACTTCAAGGTGAATGATGTGTGTTAAGGATGGAATTTACACTTTAGCATAATGTTGAAACTACTAACATTCCTTTCAAGTACTAACAGTTGCTAACGTAACTTTTCTTTTGCATATGTTCCAGTTGGCATGGACACCTTTTCTAGCTGCATTCAGTGTGGGTCTACAGGACTGTGATGACACAGAAGTTGCCTCTCTTTGTTTGGAGGGTATACGGTGTGCAATCAGGATCGCTTGCATTTTCAACATTCAGGTAAAAAACTTAAGACTGAGACAATATGTTTTATGTACCAGCAAAATGTTAATGGGGTTCTAAGAGTCCCTGTTGCTGAAGCTATGCTCAGCAATACCTAGAGGCTGCCTGCTTCTGCAGTTACTACTTCATCTGATATTTGACTGGAAGTGTTTTAAATAAAGTGACCTTTAGTTTTCCTGATGATTTGTGGTAAGTGCTGCCACACCCACGTACTGAATTTTTGTTTCCCCACAAGTTGACTATTTTTATGTCAAAAGTACTTTCTTTTTAGCTTTGTTGTAACTTTTCATAAATTGAGTGTTTCTATGCTGTTTCATGAGTAAAATAGTATCTCTTTGGACTGTTTGAAATACTGTTCTCAATTTTAGAGAGATTATAATAATCTGAGACTTCTATAATTGGATACCATGTTAACAGTTGTGGCACTGGAAATGTCATTCCTGATGTAATGCATGAATGTATCTTGCATTAAGCACAATGCCAAGAACTCCAGACTCTCTGGCTCCAGAGGGTAATTCTGATTAAAGTCTTGGGCTTCCCCCCACCTTTTAAAATAATCAGTAGTGAACATACTATTATGTTATTGTAGACTATTAGTTAATAAATGGAGTACTGGTCTGCCATAAGTCTTGCAGAAATAGCTTAAGAGTGGGGCAAGCAAAACTCATGTGTTTGACATTGCATTATTTCATGTGTTCATTGAAAATATTTTAAAAAACCGAAACAAACCCCCCCAAAAAAAACCCCCACACAACCTTGTGAGACTAAGTAAGAACAGTTGATCTATCATATGATAGTGAATGCTTTGCTTCCCTCTCCCCTTGCACTTGTATTTAGCAAATTAGATAACTTTTTATCACTAATGTGGAAAGGCACATTGGGACCTCTGATACAGCTGCTTAAAAAAGCCTGTTTGAGATCATGTAAGGTTTCCTTCCTCCGTCTTTCCATTTCATTTTCCCGCTCCACTCCAACTGAACATACTTAAAAATTTGATTAACAAAGCCTTCCCTGGAGCCTGCAGCTGTTCAGTTTAATTCACATTCCTGTTATTTTTGTTTTTAAGGTGCAAAAGTGGAACTGGTACAAATAGCAGTTTCAGCAGCTGCAGAGGGTTAGCTCCCAGTCCTGCAGTGGTCTGCCTTGGGTGGGGAGGGCAAGGACACATTTGTTCTAAGATCCCTATGCTCCAGGAGCGTCCCAAAATCAGTCTTGCCCTTCTTTTGGCTTGGGACCAACTTGTCTGAACTGGAGGTGTTTCAAAAACAAAACTTTTCACTTGATGAAATTTTCAAACTTGTTTTTCTGTTTTCAGTATAAGTGATATTCCTTCTTGATTTCCTATGGGAATTCTGTTTTGTTGATATCATTAAAAGCCAGACTGGTTTGTTGATTATTTCGGTATGTTACAGGATGATTCCATTGCACAAGGTCCTGATTAGATGTCAGTGTTGTCTGACTTCAGATGCCAGATAGCTCTGGTGGTTTGAAGGAGACTGGCCAATCTGTACTTGAGCTGACATAGGATTCTCTTCTGTTGGAAGCAGGTTTTTTCTCTTGTGCTCAAGTGGTGCTGGCAACTTTTCTGTTGCATAGAATAAACATATAGAAGTAAAGGTTGGAGTCTAAGAGCAGTTAACATTAGTTTACACACCTTGGGAGATAATGGAGGGAGCTGGAGGCTTTGAATTTTAAGAAAATTCCCAAAATACGCAACATAGTTTCAGCTGTGCGGGTTCATCTCTCAAACCTCAATGAAAGATTCTGGTTTTAATTATTTATGCTTTTAATCTTAAACTGTCACATAGTCTGGCTTTTGTCTTTAAGCATCTGGGATGGTGCGCATCCAAAGGATGTACTTAATTTGCTTATATCATCTGGTTTTACTTTCTGTTTGGTGGACACACTGTTTGGTTGTTTTTCTCCTACTTTGATGGCTTAGAAAAAGGGGAAGGTAGGAATGAAAACATTTTCCTTCTCCAGAAGCTGCACAGTTTGTAGACTCCAAAACTTCTTTACTTAGTACTCTTTCCATGAAACTTCAATTTTTCTGTGCTTTTACAGAATTTGCTGTGCCTTTGCCAGTGTACCCTGTAGTAGTAGCTGGGTTTGAACATGGCAGCCATGCTGTGTGGCTCTGTCAGAATCCATCCTTATAGAATCATAGAATGGTTTGGACTGGAAGGGACCTTAAAGATCATCTAGTTCCAACCCCCCTGCCATCAGCAGGGACATCTTCCACTAGACCAGGTTGCTCAAAGCCTCATCCAACCTGGCCTTGAACACTTCCAGGGAGGGGGCATCCACAGCTTCTCTGGGCAACCTGTTCCAGTGTCTGACCCCTCTCACAGTGAAAAACTTCTTCCTAATATCTAATCTAAACCTCCCCTCTTTCAGTTTAAACCCACTTCCTGTGGCGTTCATGTTTTCTCTGTGAAACAGACATTCTTCCTGGGATTTCTTGGAAATATTTTATATTTGTTTTTATTATTTGCTAAATGGGTTTTTTGTTTGTTTGTTTTTTAATTTAAAAATAGTCTTATATATCCAGTTAAATATATTTCATAGTTGTCATTTGTTTCTCTGATGTACAACTCTTCCACTTTATGGTCTTTGGAACGTACATAACAGGGGAGGAAAATGCATTTGTGAGCTCAGCTCTAATCCCGTTTTTACCATTTTAATTGGTTCATATGAGATCTGAGGATTTTCCTTTGGTGTTTATAGACATTCTATACATAAAAATCGGGTACCTACATGTCGAACATTCTTTTTTGTGAGATTGATTTCATCTGCCTGGATTATAGGTCACTTGCTGTTTACCCACCTGTGACAGTCTTGCTTCACAAGCTTCTGAGGTGCTCCAGACAGCATAGATAACATCAGAGACATTTTGAGCAGTTTTGTGGAGTTGGCAAGCTAAAGATACATTATTTAGATTCTGTTGCCAAAAAAATCCTTCAACTTGAGAGAGTCTGTGCTAAGACAGCATTTTCAGAGTAGGTTTGAGTATGGTATAAGAATATTAAAAGCTTAGGTAAGAAGCCACATTTTTTTCAACAGCATCCTGTTTCCCAAAAAAGTTCCCCAAAAAATCCGAGAAGACCAAACCCAGAAATGTAACAGCAACCTGTGTGTTCTGTGCTGTCAGACATTAGACTTCAAGTTCCTGAATAGAGGAAGCCTGATTTTATCCCATAGCTTACTACAGAACATGAGATATTTTCAGTATGTAGAATGCTTTGGAAATTCAGTTCTAGGAAGAGAAAGGTGAATTATATAGTTAATGAAATCACACTAAGAACGAGAAACTGAGAAAATACTTACAAGACAATTTTTTTTTTTTTTCCTCCCATTTGTAGCTTGAAAGAGATGCCTATGTCCAAGCATTGGCAAGATTTACTTTACTTACAGTGAGTTCTGGCATTACTGAAATGAAGCAGAAGAATATTGACACAATTAAAACTCTCATCACAGTGGCCCATACAGATGGAAACTATTTAGGAAATTCCTGGCATGAGGTACAAGTGTCATTTGTACTTAAACTGTAAGAAAGCGCGTGCACTGATTTTGAATGCAGTAGTGTACTTGTTTGTACATAAATACAGTGAGTTTTAGGTAAGTGCCACGTATATACTTTTGTACAGACATTATGTAGAACTGCACATTATGCAGCAAATTAAAGTGGCAAAAGATTTCCAAGTGAGAAATAAAATTGTGAGAGACTAATCCAATAGTATTTAAATTAATATCCTTTTTTAGAAGAATAGAAATAGTTGTCTGACCTTGAATGTTTAGAATTTTTTTCTTCTAAAGATCTGCCTAAAGATTTTCATTCGTTTAATTTTTACTATTTCAAACTGCTTTTTGTTGATAAACAACTTCTTTATTCTCTGGAGCAGATTCTGAAATGCATCAGTCAACTTGAACTGGCACAGTTAATAGGAACTGGAGTAAAACCTCGCTACATCTCAGGGACAGTGCGTGGCAGGGAAGGTTCTTTTACTGGAACAAGAGATCAGGCACCCGATGAGTTTGTGGGGCTGGGACTGGGTAAGTAAAGTAGATACAAAGTGTTTCATTTAACTGGCTTTGTTCAGACAGATATTAAAGTTTGTCCTTTGTTTTCGTTATTGTTGTCTGTGAGGTTTGGAGATGAGACCATGAAGCAGTCCTTGTAAAACTCTCTTAGGCTTTGAATAGACCTCTTCCTATTTCTGAAATATTTGTTTTGCTCTGTTAAGTATTACTGCTAGGAGGGGAGATTGGGAAATATAAGAAAATGATAACTTCATTCATTTTTACTAAAATATAGCTGAGCAAGTAAGAATGGATTGCTGATGGTATAACCAGATTTAATAATATCTCAATGCTAGTGCACCAAGTGATTCAGCAAACGGCAAGTTAGTATGTGTAGGTCAAGCATCCTGTTATGAAGCTTCACACAGCATTCAGACCAAGTGGGAGATTATTTTAGCTTAAATTCTGAAACTCTTGTTTCCTCCTCTTTTGGTTACTTTGGTACTAAGTGCCCTTTTTAGGTTGAGCTCAGAGGTAAAATTTACTCCGTGAATCAGATGTTGTTTCTTATCCTCCTAGAAAAGTATACCAGTCTTACCTTAAATTATCTTAAAAACTTTAATTTTTGTTTGTTTTCTTAATAGGAACACAGGTAAAGACATACAAATGTAGGGTATTAGGAAACTATGGAAGCATCAAGGAAGTATATATATAACTCCATTTGACTGTTAGAAAATTCCAGTTTTAGTGTGATGCTCAATATCTCCTGTCTTTTAAACAACTTCACCCACAGCTGAGCAAAAGCTTTGTGTTCTCTCAATTTTTCATGTAACTTTTCTTTTTAATTTGAGGAGTAATGCTTATTTTACTAGTTTCCCTGACCTTAGCCCCTCAACTAGTCCTAATTGTGTGGCTTTGTGTTCTCCTCAGTTTTCCTTACTCTGCAGTCAGTCCTCTTCTTTCCATTGTGCTGTCCTTTGGCCTGCCTCCACGTACTCTCCTCACCTTGCCAAGAGCTGCTGAAGGGAGACCTTATGCCTGGAAATTAATGCATCTGCCAACATCTCCTATACTGAGCTTCTTCCTGCCCTTCTAATATCCATCCTCCAGTTTAGTGTTCCCTGATGACCTATCCAACTATGCTGTTTCCAGGTGCTGGCAGTTTCTCTGTGCTGAAGTGACTGGTCTTGAAAAATATTAAGTCCTAATAGCTCAAGAATGTAAACTGTAGAGAGGTGTCTCTAAATCATACTTGTTAGTCATTGGTATAGATCCAGCTCATAAAGACTTTTTTCCCCCTCTGTCAACTACATTTCTAAGGAAAATAGTCTGTGCCCAAATGCGTAAAATGTTTCTCTCTGAACTGAATTTCTGGAATGCTTTTTACAGTGCACATATGGAAACATAATCATTTTCTTTCTTTCTTTCTTTCTCTTTTTTAATAATAGCAAATCAGTCTAATGCTTAACTCAAAGGAATTTGGTTTTCATGCCCTTAAGGGCAGTTAGAACATAGTAATTTTCTCAACTGTTTCAGTTCTTTCATTCTTCTCTACAAATCCTGTGTTGCAGTTACTTTGGTTTTCTTCCTGTGATCACTCTGAAGTATCTTTTGGAGCTATGGCTTTTGAGCAACCCTCCTATAAACCTCAATTCCTGTGAAGAACCCATAGTGCCTACGTCCATGTATACAGACACATATTTTACAGGAAAATAGTTGTTTAATTAGAGTAAGTGAAGTTGCAGTCTGGTGACAGAAGCTTCATCTTTCAAACCTGCTTGCAAAGTCAGATGTGCATAAGCACGGCAGCATTTGCTCTTCTTCCTGAAGTTAGTAGTGTGTGGAATTTATTTTTTTTTTTTTAAAAAAAAACCAACAATCAACCCCCAAAGGCTTTTTGCTTATTTACTACCTTATTTATTCAGGTGTGCACTCTTCAGACATCTGTTTTTGGATGTCTTCATCACTCTTGCATTATCTTCCTGCTGTGGCCCTTTTTTGTTTTACTTGAAAATTCATGGTGTCACAAGGATGTGGGTTGGTAAAGTAAACAAATAAGCATCTATTTCTTTGCTTCTTGGTGGGAATGTTGTCTTACTTGGAGTTGTACCTGTGAAGTTCAGCTTTTTTCTACTCTAGTTTCTATTCACAAAGTTGGAAGACAAACCTGCTGCTGTGAGTAGCTCATAGCCAAAGCATACTTACGAGGTAACCAGAAATCCTCTTTGGACTATGGGAATCTGAGGAGTCAGTTTTTCATAAAGCAGAATTATATAGATGACTCTGTGTCTCATAACTGTTGGAATATAAATCTTCTGTCTGTTTAGGTTTTCCGGCATTGATGGTAAATCCTACGATAATAAGGCAGAGTTGGTGAGAGTTACACGACTTCTTGGAAATAGCCCTTCAAGTTCACTTCGCACAGCTGCTCATTTGATGATGCATTACCAAGATTTAAGCTAATTGATAGAGGCAGTTTTTGTGCTTACTAGAGAAGTCTTGATTAAACACAGCAGTATTCTGAGTTGCTGAAATACTAGTATAAGGTTACATATGTATGTACAGAAAGGTTACTCTATAAATGCTCTCGAAAAATACTTCAGATAGGTCAGTGTATCTAGATTGACAGCCAGTCATCTCCAGCCACCTCCCAAGCGTGGAGCACAGCAAGACTGGGAGACAGTCCGAAAGATGAGAACTTTTTGTCTCTGCAAAGCTCTGAGAACAGAACTACTGCCCTTCTTTCAGTCTTGTGTTCTCCCTTATCTTTCTGATAGGCTGCCTAAGGAGAAAAAAAACCCCAAAAACAAACACCAACAAACAAACAAAAACCAAGGAAGGTGGAATTACCCGGAATGGTTGCAATATTCTTGCTCTTTTTCTGATGGGGGGTGGAGAGGGGCTTAGAGATTACTAACTTCACAGTGATCAAATTTCTGGCATTTTCTTAACATGAGCTTTCCTAGGTGTGGGTTACAGTTTCTAGCCTCCAAAATAAATATTGCTATTTTTATTTACAGATTTTTTTCACTATCGTTAGGTGATAATTCTGCTGTACTTGTGATGTAGCTTTAAGATGGAGTTTTGGTTGGAGCTCTTCTCTGTGAGTGACTAAAAAGAAAACCTATCAAATGGATTTACTCCTTTGCTGCTAATAAAGTGTGAAAATACCTGTGCGGTATTTTCTGTTGTATGTTGTGTATTTTCAGTAGCAGAATTGCCAAAGATACATTGAAAGATGGAGAGAAGAAGGTGGTTTTTGTGCTTTTGAATTTTTTTCTTTTGTATCTATTCATACAGTTGTTCCAAATGTAGACATTTTTCTGGGACTAATGTAGTTTATATGTGGATAGAGAATCTAGATAATTAGGACTCAAACCAACATGCAGCCGTTCACTGAGATGCCCAGCTCGTGCAAAGGCAATTAATAATGTATTTCTCTTTTTTTTGTGACCTAAAAATATATTCAGTTATACTCATAGTGGCACAACTTCTCTTCCTCTTTCCTCCCAATCCTTTCTGTGTTATCTCTTACCCATTTTTCAAATTTTTTTCACTGTAGTTGGTGGAAACGTGGATTGGAAGCAGATAGCAAGTATTCAGGAATCCATTGGTGAAACTAGCTCCCAGAGTGTTGTCGTTGCTGTAGACAGGTATTGTATTAAATTTACTGTTGCCTCCTCAAGCTTTTTAAGCAACGTTTGTGTACTCTGTGCTAATACTAGGACATTATTAGTTTACCCCTATTTGGAGAAAAATAGATAAATATTACCACATTAAAGTGCTCTTCAGTTTTGTGGGGTTTTTTTAACTTTTTTTATGGAGCAAAAGTGATTTTGCAAGAAGGAACAGAACAAAGATGAGGCAAGAAGCCTTTTTACTGATACAAACTTATTGCAAGAGAGTTGCAGAAGGAAGACTTCTGTACTGTCCAGTGAATCTTGATTTGCTATTTATAGTAACACATAGCAAATCTCATTTTGCCTGAGTACAGGGAACACTATTGACAGACCCTTTTTCTTCTGAATGTAATTACTGCCTCCCTGCTTTTTTCTAGGTTGTGTAGATGTTGTCTGAAATCACCAAAATGATTATTCCAGTCTTCCTTTCTCTGAATCATGTTTATCATGACTGGATTTGATCAGGCATAATACATATCATAAACATTCCTCTTTAATATCATAAACTACTGATCAGACTGGTGTGTAAGTGGATCTTGCTCTCTCAGCGTGCAAGAAAGCAGAAAAAAAAATTTCTTAATGGTTGTCAGAGGTGACAATCACAAAGGGGTGTCATTCTCAAGGCTTAAAAGCATTTCTGTCGTTGAATATGGGCAGCAACATCAATGTCACTTCAATGAAGGTTGCCTTGCAGTAATATCACATCAAGGGAACTGGAGGTTCAATGTCAAGCACATAATAGCTCTTTAGGTTTGCAGTATTTCTCCCCACTTCATAATGGGAAGTGTTCCAAGTATCTATTTGTCATTGCAAATAGGAATTGTGCACTATGGAGAAGTTTGACTTCTGTATTTGGAGCAGGGCTGAATAGATTATAAACTATTGACATTATTCATCAGTCACTGTCAATGAGCGGAAACAATGGTCACTTCCCAGTCTCTATGCCTGCTTATGGGAGTTATTTTTAAATATTAAAATTAAGTGAAATATTTCTGATTTTATTTTCAAAATTCAGTATTTTGCACAATTATTACTTGTTTTTGAATAAATAGAAGTTGTTAGGGAGTGTCTATATATATTAAAAAAAAATCTTAAATACCTGTTTAATAGATGCTTTTGTAAGAAATCGTAACAATGTCTTAAACTGCACTTTACAGAATATTTACGGGATCTACAAGGTTGGATGGAAATGCTATTGGTAGGTTTTATCTCTTTCCCCCCCGCCCCCCCC